CACACACACACACACACACACACACACACACACACACACACACACACACACACACACACACACACACACACACACACACACACACACACACACAGATATATATATATATAAGGAGAAATCCACTTACTTTAAGGGTAAGTATATTTAAATTTACTTTTCTTAATAACTCTTCATGTTTTACAAATTTTAAAAAAAATTTGAAAACTATTTGATACCAAGTTTCATTAATTTAAAACAACATATATAAAATATTTTTATAATTACTCATCAATTACAATAAATAAAACAGAATATCAAGTAGTTTTTAAATTTTTAAAGAATTTGTATAATTGATCTATGCATTAAAAACTTTTAATTCAATGGTTGATGCAATTTAAAAATAAATTTTACTTATTAAATAAAGGTTTGAAAAATCTCTAACAACTATTTTACTATCCATTTTCACTTTATTATTAAGCATATATCCATTTAATTATCCATTTAAAATCTATAACAAATATTAATCTTGAATATTTGCATATACAAGTTTTTTATCATCTCTAATTCTATGTTTAAAACTATAATAATGTCACGTCAATTATTGTTATTATTTTAAAGGTATATGTTGCATCAATGTCAACATTATGATTTTAAACAATTTGAAAGATACAACCTTTTAAGGGTAAATAAAGTAAAAACTTTGTTTGTGACTGAATCTAACACCTATACTATATATTACTATTCTTAGAATCATAAAAAAATGAAAATAACATTTATATATTCTTTTATATTGATGATAACCTCTAAAAATAAATACATTTACATAATTTAATAAATGTCAATCAATCAATGAATAATATTTATTTATGTATCAACATCTTATTATTTCAAGAGAAATAAAATATATTTTGATGGAGAAGGTAGGAGAAGTGGAAGTAGTGCTTCTCCTTAGCTTCACCTTAGCTCGGATCTTCTTCAAAGGAGATGGAAACTGAATCAAGAACACTTGGAATGGATGAAGTTCTCGGATGAATGGAGGCCTAAGCCTTGGATGGAAGTATCCAAGCTCAAGGAACAATGGATTGCTCACATCAAAGAGAATGAAGGAGATGAACTTCCTAGGGCTTTTGAGGTGAACACTCACGGTGACTTTGAAGAGAAACTTGGCAAGTATTTGCTCTCAAATTTCATTAAACTCAAAGTAAAGTTTACAATGTGTGAAGGAGGCATTTAAAGGATCCGGAAGCAATGCACTTGGCGCCAATGTGAAAGCCTCACATGTGGCGCCAAGTGTTGAATTCAAATTTCAAAAATTTGAATTCAAAACTTAACTCACATGTGTGACCGGTCACACTTAGAGCTAGGTGCATTTGGATTTGATTTAGTATGCATTTAGGGTTAATTTTGAGTCACACATGTTCAACCATGGTGGCGTCAAACATGTGACTCAAAATGTAACTTAAATGCATCCTAAATTAAACCTAGTTTAACCTAATCCAATTAAACTACAAATCCTCCTTAAACCCTAATCTAATGACCTAAATACAATGGTCAAGAAAATACAATGAATAGGAAAAATTACAAGAAGAAGAATAAGCCCAATATTGGGTATCAAAAGCCCAAAGCCCATGAAGCCCAATTACAAATCCAAAATACACAAACCCTAATCTATGGTCAAAATACAAGACCAAAATCAAAGTAACTTCCTATTCTAAGAATGTGCTATAAAACATGGTGTTCAATCAAGTGTAGTCCAAGTAAGAAGCACCCTAGGCCCTCCAAGCTCATTGGGCCCACTAAGCTCTAAAGTTGACAAGTCTTCAAGTAATCTCCTGGCCATGGCTCTAGTGGTTGGGCCTTTAGCCCATGCTCTTCCATCATTCCCTCCCTCTTGAGAAGGATTCGTCCTCGAATCTGAAGACTCTTCCTCATCATCACTAGCACCTACAAAAGGTTTTAGATCACTAACAATAAAAGTAGGGCTTACTCCATAATCAGAGGGTAAATCAAGTCTATAAGCGTTATCATTGATACGCTGTAAGACCTAAAAGGGACCATCTCCTCTAGGACTGAGTTTGGACTTCCTTTGTTTTGGAAAACGTTCTTTTCTTAAATGAAGCCAAACCCAATCACCTTCCTCGAAGATCATAG